CGTAATCCCACTATATACAGAATGTTAAGGAATGACAAGGGGGATTATGAAAGCAACTCCTTAACAGGAATATACTCGATACCGCTAAGAGACAGCAGGTTCAACTCTAACTTAGTATATATAGGCGCAACATTGAGGAATTTGAAAAAAAGAATCCATGAACATAAGCTTTCAGTGAACAAAACAATTGACAGCACGATCCTTGCCACTTATGCTAAACAACAAGGCATTACTGTTTTCTGGGACCAGGCCTCTATAATAAAAGCCACTACATCTAAACACGCGATAAAACATCTCGAAAAGCTGGAAATCCACAGGGCACAGAAGACAGCACAGTGTATCAACTATAGAGATGCCGACGGGCTTTCGTCCGCTTGGAAATCTTTTTGCGACGAATTGGCATAATCTATATAAAAGGCTTAATCAGGCTTAGGATGATCGATGATAGATATTTTATTTATTTGTTTATTTGTTATTATCATTATTGTTTATTAAGTACACGAAAATTTATATATAGCACTTTCGTTTGTAACACGTTACATTTTTATTTTTATTTTTTATTTTTTTACATAACCGTTAATTGGAATTCCCGTTGCGTAATTTTTCGAATTTCATATTTCGAATTTATAGAATTAACTGAGGATGAACGCTTAATGCGTTTGAAAACGTTTTTAAGTTATTAAAGAATTTTGCTGGATAGATAAATGGTTTTTATTTTTATAGATTTTATTCTCCAGTAAGCAAGTATACTATTATAGTCATGATTATTATTTTAAAAAGTTTACGTTAGGCTTAACATTGACGAAAATTCAACGCAAAGCAACACGCAACGGAGAAAAATTTCAGGATGGGATAGGTTAATATATTTTTTCGTACATAATCGGTTATCTGAAAAATAAGTTATCCGAACAACCTCAGTCCCCAATTGATTCGGATAAATGACGCTCTACTGTATTATTAAAATTCTACATAATGTTTAATATCAACTAAACTTCTCCACACAACAGTTAAAAGCATATTACTTTAAATTTAAATGTAAAATAATAATCATTAAAAAATTTATGTGGTATAATTTATAAATTTAACACTGTTATAAATTTAATTACTTATTTAAAAAAAAATTACAATTATAAAAACAATTTTATAAAAATTTACCTTTTGTACTTTTATTTAGCCTTTCTCATTCAAACTGCATTTTTGAATAAAATTTTCTTTTAAATAATTAAATTTGAATATTATTCCATGATATATCACAAATAAGATTACATAGTTCTGTGAATCCTAAATTTTCCAAAATATGCATTGATCTCTTTTTAATTGATTCAAACTGTTCAGATAAGCATTTCAAATTTGCATCAACTAATTCTTTAGTTTCTAAGTCTGAATCTGTTTCTTTTGTAACATCCTTTACTTCAGAACTACTTCCAGCTTGTTCAGGATTCTTTTTTGAATCCAATTCAGCTTCACCTAAAGTATTATCTTTTTCTGGCAGAAGTAATTCATCATTTTGTTTGCTTTCATTTTTCTTTTTTGTTGCAATAGATGCTTTATTTAATTCTAAAATATCTTTTTCTAATCCAAGAAGTTCTTTTGTGATGTGATTTATTTCTTGTGCATCAATTAAACTATTTTGAAATAAGTACTCTCTTAATGCTCTATATAAAAGATAAGTAAATATATAAATATAAGAAAATAAATTATATTAAAAATATCAAAAAATATTAATTACAGAAATATAAAATTTATAATAAAATTCTATTCAAAAATTTCAATATGTTCAATTTTATTTTAAAATGCAATATAAAATTAAATCACAAAATTTTAAAATTGAACTTATTAAAAACTATTAACATTTCAAATTTGAATAAATTAACTTAATTATATAATAATTTATTTTCACTCTAATTAATAAATATTTATTTAGGATATTTCAAAAATATAACTTTATAAATGAAAAGATTTTTCCATAGTTAAAAATTCAATTTTATATGAATTACCAATGTACAGTACATTCATAATTTTCCAAAATAAATTTTTCATATTTTATACATCAATGACAGTCTTATATATCTAGAGATGGTTGAATGCCAAGTGGTTAAATTTTATAAAAATATTTACATTGTTTAGAAAATAAAAACAAAAACACCAGAAAAAAATCTGAAATGGCCATACTGCTGTACTATTATGTTATTGAAGTTTTCATACAGATTCAAAGTAATCTAGAACAAACTTTTTCCAAAAGTGAATCAAAATTGGATTTGAATACTTAAAAAATAAAATTTGTTAGCAGATTTTGTTAACTTTTTAATTTGACATTCAGGACAGCTTTAAGATTCTGCTTTCACACTGCATGTGCAAAGTTTTGGAATTTATCAAATATTGTTTTTTTATAATTTATAAAAACCTAATTCCTTCTAAACATTCAATATGCATACCTTGAAATCATCATGTAAATCACAGACTCACCATCACTAATCAAGAATAAAATAACTGTTTAAAATAATTTCAACATTTAGGATAATTTCAGGAATGATTTACAAAGTAGGAAATATGAAATGAAAAACCATTTAAAAAATCCAGAAATGAGTTACTTAACTTTCCCTGCTACATTTGGTGGCACCATCTGTTATCATATTTGGCTTTGTATGAAAACATTGTGCTTTGGGATGATGATATATATGTAATTGTATTTTATTTAAAAACTTTTTTACATTTTTAACTATTATAAAATGGCAAAAAACTTAATTTTGAGGGTATGCATGGGTTCTTTTAAAAAATTATAAATGCTAATAACGAGTAAAATCATCATTAAGACCCACTCGAGATATGACACAACTCCCTTTATCTCCTCACCCCTTTGACTTTTAACCACCAAAATTTAATAGCATCAATCCCACTAATACACAAACCTCCCTGCAAAATTTCAGAAAATTTCGACAAAAAGCAGAGAAGTTATTAAGCTTCAAAGATGGTGAACAAAATCATGCCCCCCACACAAACATCCATACATACAAAAAAACCCCCAAATTTTTTCGCATTTCTTGCATTTCAAGGTTCTCTGTGTCNGTTTTAAAAAAAAAAAAGCAATCATTATTCAAATGTAAAATATTTTATTATTCATGTTGTTTTGATATGGGTATTCTTAATATTTTACTATAAAAAAGATCTTTAATATTTTTTTATAAGATTTATATTCTACTATTACAGCAATCTAAGATTTATATTCCAATTAATTTTCTCTTAGTAGAATATTGTAAATATTACATACCTCATAACTCCTCTAATCATTGCAATAGGAAAACTTTGTTGATAACCTTTAGCATAACCCATATTAAAACCATTCTGCTGTTTTTCTTCTTGACCTTCTACAATACCATCTCTAAAGCCATCCTGAAAAATTTTAAGTTTTTAGTAGAAACAAAAATGCAATTTTAAAATATATATTATTTATTTATTTAAAATTGTATTATTATATAAACTGAATTTATTAATATGTATATATACATATAGTAATTAATAATACCTCCATTTATCATTTATGAATGTACTGTAATTGGTTCCATGAAAATTGCATAAATGGAGCCCTGGAACCATGTCACAAAAAAAACATAACTCCACTTTAATGCTTAATTAATAATATGGGACCTTTAAGTGGTAGAATAATAAACTCTTAAGTAAAATAAAGTACATGTAATAAACTTTCAGAATTTGTAATTTATTTTGTGAGGTCATCGATCTGTGCATAAAAGAAGGATGTCTGAGCAATGCCAATTCGTATGTGGGAACATTAGATACAGAGACAACTCTCCAGTTACAAACAATTAATCCAGTTTATTGCAACTAAAAATGTAAGCTTACAGCTACAACAGTCAACAAACTATATTCCTATTTGATTCTTCTCTCGAAGAGTGAATGTCCTACGATAACTATTCTTTCAAGTTCCATTTGGAAAGTTGAAGGCCCCGGGGCGTTGGAGGGAGAAAGTCCATCACAAAGTCAAGGTGTAATCCTGATTGATGTCAGAATGCAGAGGTGATTTCCTTTTCAGCATATGGTGCTGCACAATAAGATGATGGGGAGAAGCTCCAAAGTCCTTGGAATTGTCATTTTTATAATTTTTTTCAGGTCCCAGATTGACCACTTCAATTGGTTGTTTTTACTCATCTCCACTTTCTAATTGGTTGTTGATCATTATTAAGTATAACAAGATTGGAACCTTGACAAGTTAAAAAATTGTCTGTCAATTCAATCCCAATCAAAGATGGTTGATCTTGGGACTTACATTCTTCTATTGTTTTAACACGAAAAGTACTCTTTTTTTTCTTATAATTCCTTTTAAACATGCCCTTTTATGGACATGAAATTTCTGCCTTTTTATTTGAACAATTTTATTTTTTTTTTTTTAATCTTTGTTTTCTTTTTCTTTTACAAGAAAACAAAATTTTGTTTTGTGTGGTTCTGATCCACTTCCAGAGCCTCATATTTTATTCTTATTGATAAAGATGAAAAATATTTTGGTCATAATAAAGGTTATATACATTTTGACACAACAGATGTTAAACTGTGCCTATCTATTGTGTTTGTTATAGTTAAGTAACAAACCACAATAGATAGGCCCAGTTCAGATAAGTGAAATTTCTGTAGAATGGCAGACACAGTTATCAGTTACACAAGTTGCTATGGTATATTAATTTAAATGTAATAATTCACATTTGACAAAGTTTATGGCTGTGGAATGTTGCCATTTGCCAGCTGCATTGCTCATAGTGGAATATACACCACATGGTAGCCACAGATTAGCTATGGGCTATTACAATGTACCAAATAATTCACAAGTGGAAGCAGCAGTTGTGCAGTGTGTGTAGTAGTGATGTGCTGGATATCCGTATCCATATCTGCGGATATCCGAGGAAAAAAAAGATCCGTATCCGTTACTTTTTAGCGGATCTTCTAACGGATCTTTTATCTTAATGAATTTCATTACTTATATGAAATTTTAAAGATAGGTAGCAATAGCACATTCGTCATTCACTATTGTAAAATATTTCCATATTACACTACTAAACTTTTTTGTCGACATTGTTTTTATTTTAATTTAACTCAACACTCCAAAAACACAAACGTAATCTATACTATCGCGTGTCACACTAGCCACAAACCAGTGTTTCCCAATGTGGGGCCAACGCCCCACAGGGGGCAATTGGATTGCTAAGGAGGGCAATTCGAAAATGGACTTGTCCAGAGTTTAAGTTAACGGTATAGCTGCTGTATATGTTAGGGAGACAAGAATTTTAGAAAGGCTTACGTGGGGCATAGCACAAAAAAGATTGGGAAACACTGCACTAAACTATTGTGGCGGTACGCTATATTTTTGTAAATACAGTATTAATTTTAGTTTAGTTTCGTTTCTTCTTTCTACCCTTTGTTCTATTGTTCTATTTTGTTCTAGAACATTCTTATCTATTCCCTGTCCCTTGGGTGGGATGAGCAGTTCCTAGAAATTTGAGGAGCAAAGGTGTAAGCAGGAGCCGGAGAAAAAAGAGAAGTGACGTAGCAGGTCATTCGTAAACCGGATGGCAGAGTGTATGGACGAGGTGAGAATACTGGGAGTCGTATTTTCAACGACCGGATAGTTCAGAAATAAGTTCAGAAAAAAGATCCTGTTTTAAGGTCGTATTGACGACTGTGGAAGGAAAAATCCTAATTATTGTAAAAGAGAACTGGCCAGTTATAGGAGAAGGACGTGTGTTATCCCACCCAACAGTACGCATAAAGAAACAAGCCGAAAAAAGGGACAAAACCCCAGATA